ACAGGCTCTGCTTCTGCCAGCTGCCTCAGTGGGACCAGGAGGACCTGAGGGCTGGGAGGGAGTCATCCTTACCCCAGAGAAGGAGGGAGGGCATTGTCTGCCTGTTGTGAGGCTGCCTCTCCTGACCGGGCGCTGACGCCCGGCACTGTTCTAGGCACAGAGGGGTTTAAAAGCCCACCCAGAGCTCACCCCTGATGCTTGTGAGTCCTCTCTACCCAGGCCCTGACCATTCCCCGTGGCAACCCCCCCCCCCCAACGATGCCTCCATATGTCACTGCAGTGTGGCCACATTTTCCAACTTGTCCACCAAGCCCTCTGTGGACAGTGCCCCTCAGCCAGCACCATGGAGACTTTGCTGTGGCACCTCCCAGCCTCCCTCTTTAGAATTCTGGTGGTGGAAGTGGGGGTGAGGAACCATCCCTCGTGGGGGTGAGATGGTTACCACTGAGGGCAAATGACTCATTTAGTCCTGAGATAGAGGCAGCATCCGACAGCGTCCTGTCATCTTCATTACCAGACTCACTTGCAGTTAACGGTCACTAACTGAACACCTACTATGTGCTTCCCTGTGTGAGCTTCTGGAACAAGACAGATGAAGCCCCTGACCTCACGGAGCTCACACTGTCATAGAGAGAGGGACAGCAAACCAAGGAGGAGAGAAAGAACAAGGTAGTGATTGCTTGTGAAGAACCATAATGTGGGGTGCAGGCTGGGGTGTGTCCTGCAGGGAACATACCCTCGGGGCACTTCCTGTCCCCCTCCCCCATGCAGACATGGCCCAAGTCCCCTCTCTGAGCAGCAGAATAGGCCCCTGGTGCTGCCACTGGGCACCTCTGCCCTGGAGTGATGGGGAAGGGAGGAGCTCACACAGCCGCCTGCATCCCATTGCTGTGCCCTCATCTGGAGGGTAGGAGGGGACCTTCTGGGGCAACTCGGTAACTCTATTTCTGCAGGGCTTGAAGCTTACAGACGCAGAGTGGCCCTGAGGGCCGTGGTCCCTCTGGATGCCCTTCCCCCACCGCCCCTCCCCTCCTGCTGTGCTCAGAGCTGTGCTTTCCTAGTCTAAGGACCACACAGAGCTGTCTGCAGACACTTACATCATTTGCAGTGAACCCTGAGCCACCAAATGCAACTAGTTACTCCTTCGCCACCACATTCTGGGCCCCCCTCCTCTGCTTTACAAATCCCAGTGGGAGGAGCAACAGCATCAGACCTTCTGCAGGGGATGATTGACTCTACCAAGTAAACAGAAGGTAACCATTCCTGAAGTATTCATGCTTTCTTTTTATTTTTTTATTATTTTTTTAATGTTTTATTTATTTCTAGGAGAGAGAGACAGCGTGAGCAGGGGAGGGTCAGAGAGAGAGGGAGTCACAGACTGAAACAGGCTCCAGGCTCTGAGTCAGCACAGAGCCCGACGCGGGGCTCGAACCCACGAACCGCGAGATCATGACCCAAGAGAAAGTCAGACGCTTAACCGACTAAGGCACCCAGGCGCCCCTCATGCTTTCTTTTTAAACATTGTAATATTTTCTCAACTAGGGAGGAATGTGTAAATCACTTTTGGCTGAAGATATTAGTTTCAAATGAGATTGTGAAATTTATTTTTATGACCTGTCTTTACAATCTCATGCATTTCCTAAATATACATAACTTTCCACACCTTCCTTTATCATTTATCAAAAAATAATATTGCTGTTTTCTTCATTATTATTAAGGGGAAGGATGAGTCAGACTGTTCAAAGGCTTCAGGTTGCAGAGTTTTAAGACTGGAAGGTCTTCCGTGTCCCCTGAAGGGGAGCTGGTGTCCCACTTTGTGATCATGACACACCAGAGATGTAGGGCATCTTCAGGGAGGAAGAGGATGCGGAGGTCTGAACCGTCTTCTGACCAGTCCTAGTGCTGAAGGCGTTATCACCACTCTGGTCGGTGCAGAGGGCCCGTTGCTGGGAGCATGTGAGCTGCAGCGGTCACAGCTCAGGTTTGCCAGACACTTTCCCACCCCAGGCTCGTGTGATGATGTTAATGGAACACCTTTAAGGTCCTGAAATGAGCCTCAGGAAACTCCTGCCCTGACAGTGGCTCTATTAGATTTCCTGCAATGCCCTTTATTTTTTTTTAATTTTTTTAAAAATATTTCATTTATTTCTAGGAGAGAGACACAGAGAGAGAAAGAGACAGCGTGAGCAGGGGAGGGTCAGAGAGAGAGGGAGTCACAGACTGAAACAGGCTCCAGGCTCTGAGCTGTCAGCACAGAGCCCGACGTGGGGCTCGAACCCACGAACCACGAGATCATGACCTAAGCGAAAGTCGGACGCTTAACCGACTAAGCCACCCAGGCGCCCCCCTGCAATGCCCTTTAAAACGTTGTTGATGCAGCACAAGACAAGCCCATGAGTGTCCTCCGTATCATCTGGTCTCTTGTGGGTTAGAAGAAGATGGTCCCCAATGTTCCCTGGACACTGGGGCTCTTCACATTCCCTGCGCTTTTGGACATTGGCAGCCAATCTGGGACAGAGGAAAACAGTTGTACTGATTGAGGCCACGGACCGGTCAGTCTGGCAAGGCTTGCAAACCAGTGGTCTCTCCTCCCAGATGAGGTGAGATTGAAGGGATCTAAGCAGAAACTGCTTAGGCTCTGGTAAAATTGACAGGAATCTGCTTAAGGGTCTGCAAAGTAAATGCCCCATAACCAGGTGCACCTGAAATAAGGGGTAAATCATGTCAATTTATATTCCTATCTATGAATTATCTATCTATCTGTCTATCTATATCTACCTATCATCTATCTATTATTTTTATCTATATATCTATCTCTATCTATCTATCATCTATCTACCTATCATCTATCATCTATCTATCTATCTATCTATCTATCTATCTATCTATCTATCTATCATCTATCTATCTATCTATCTATCTATCTATCTATCTATCTATGTATCATCTATCTATCTATCATCTATCTATCTATATCTATCTATCTATCTATCATCTATCTATCTATCTATCTATCTATCATCTATCTATCTATCTATCTATCTATCTATCATCCATCTATCTATCATCTATCTATCTATCATCTATCTATCTATCTATCTATCTATCTATCTATCTATCTATCATCTATCTATCAATCATCTGTCATCTATTTATCGCTCACCTAAGAGAGAGAATGAGCAGGAAGAACAGATCTGCTTCCCTTGAAAGGGATCACTTGTCCTCCACTTTGTCAGGGTTGCTGCCTGAACATTATTATCCAAAGTTGCTGAGAGAGGAAGTGAGTGAATGGGAGAACTCAGCCCGCCTGGTGACAAAGTCAGGAATAGAGCCCTGTCCCTGCGACCTGGCTGGGGCTTTCTCTCCTGCCTCAAACGCCCCGGACATTCCCACTCCGAGGTGGATGAGCCCCGTACACTGCTGGGCTCCAGGTACACATCTAGGTGGTAGTGAGGTCTTGACCCAAGCGCTGTGAGGTGGGTCCCATCCCCAGTTCTGCCTTGAGCTAATTCCAGGGCCTTATTTTGCACTTCATCTGTGGACAGAGTAGTTGTGTCTCTACTCTGTCCGCATCTTAGGATCACTTGAGAGCCTTTTATAAAGTAGGGTTGTGTGGCCCTCCCCCAGGGCTACTGACTCAGGTGACTTGGTCTGGCTATCAGGGTCTCTTCCCAGTGCAGCTCTGAGTCTGGAGTGGGGCCCTGGGCCTGTATATTTTTTAAAAAGATGCCTTGGGGCGCCTGGGTGGCTTAGTCGGTTAAGCGTCCGACTTTCGCTTAGGACATGATCTCGCGGCTCGTGGGTTCGAGCCCCGCGTCGGGCTCTGTGCTGACTGCCAGCTCGGAGCCTGGAGCCTGTTTCAGTCTGTGACTCCCTCTCTCTCTGACCCTCCCCTGCTCACGCTGTCTCTCTCTCTCTCTCCTAGAAATAAATAAAACACTAAAAAACATTTAAAAAAAAAAAAGATGCCTTGGGGGCACCTGGGGGGCTCAGTCAGCTGAGCATCCGACTTCAACTCAGATCATGATCACACGGTTTGTGACTTCAAGTCCCGTGTTCAAGCCCCACTGACAGCACAAAGCCCACCTCGTATCCTCTGTCTTCCCCTCTCTGCCTCTCTCCCACTTGCTCCCTCTCTCTCTCTCAAAAATAAATAAGTATTAAATTTTAAAAAATTTAAAAAGATGCCTTGGCAATTGTGATGATTAACTTTCATCAGATTGAAGGAGTTGTAAAGATTCTTCCCTTTTGTGACTGGAAGATTTTGTTTATTTGTTTGTTTTTACATTTGGCTAGAAGTCAGCAGATGCTCAGCAAAGAAGAGAACGTCAACCCGTGTTTTCACTTCGCTTTGGCTTATATCCTATTTTCTGTGATCGTTACAGTGTGAATTAGTTAAAGCCTTCCAGCATAGCAAATATATTGCTAAGTGTACCTCCTTGCAACAAAACATAGGACCCGTGGAAGTTCAGCCAAATTGTGAAGGTCAAATGGGGTCATCCTTTGGTGACACTGATGAAGACAGAAGTCCTAATTCAATCAGCAATGTCACTGGCAATGGAAGTATACACAGAAACCCAGTGACTGTAACCCGGAGCTGGTGTGAATGTCAGTCGTCTGCTGGGTCAACATCTATAGCATTATTAAAACTATATCTCCATGAGGCATCAGGAAACAGAAAAGGCACAGCTAATATTTTTTAACACTGTAAAACATGGTCACGAGACATAGAAAATCAGAGATTTTCTCAGAAAATATCTGAGAAGTTGGGACTGTGTTCTTGAGTGTCATGGTCTCTGGCAAGTATAGAGTTCGGGCAGCCAGAAACCAGCCCAATCTCGGCTCCGATGGGGGTTGGGACATGCTCGGCTGCACTTTACCTTACAAACCAGGTGTTGTGTGGGGGCTGTGAGTGTGTGCTTCATGGTCGATGGGCGGCTGTCTGCCTTCTGGCTCTCAGCTCAGTGACTCCCTCACGCTTGTGTTTTCTCTTGCTACAGATGGGCAGAAGAAAGTTCAGGAAGAATTTGACATTGACATGGATGCGCCAGAGACAGAACGTGCGGCGGTGGCCATTCAGTCGCAGTTCAGAAAATTCCAGAAGAAAAAGGCTGGGTCCCAGTCCTAGTGGGAGAGTCCCTTCCTAGTCTGCCAGAAGACGCCGAATTCAACCATCATCTATCAAGAAATTAAAAGAACAACACCCTAGAGAGAATTCATCTGCACATGATACACACATGCACACCTGACCTGCAATGCATGTACAGAGACCCGTGATATTTATTCCCTGATAGGAAGGTGTAGACAATGCAACTGAGTGGCTTCATCTCTGTTTATCTCTAGTATCATTCCTCCTGCACTGTTTTCCTTGATGTTGTAATAAAATGGAGTTACGATGCGTGATTAAAATGTCTGCTTCATCTCTCCCTTTAGATTAACCCGGGAAGTTACCAGAGTTAGAGGCGACTGCAAGGCTGTCTATTTTCCCCTTCCCCTAAGAGTGAGAGCTGAAACACGGTGCTTCTGTGAGGAGCCTTTCTGAGGGAATGACATCCCCTCTTTGCCACACCTGTGTCATCTGAAGAGTGTTAACTGCCTGCCTGCAGTACGTTTTCCTCTTCTGATGGAGTAGAGCAGGGTGTCAAAGTGTTAGCAGGTTCCCCGGGAGAATTCCGACTCACCCAGGAGAACAAGATGGGGGAGCGTGATGCATCAACGTTTGCGCCTGTCACTCAGGTGTGCTCAGCAGGTGTGTTTCACAACTCCAAAGGGGACACTCCTGCCCTCGGCCCCCGCTGGGGCCATTCTCTCTGCACCTTTGTGGCTCCATGGGGAAAGGTGGCTCTCCGGTCTCCCTCACTTCCCAGAGCTTCTCACACTGTGATTTGCTACTTGCTAGGATCATTCCCACGACCTGCAATTTGGAGAAGGTGTCTGGCTTCTCTCCTATGGCATATCTTCCCCTGAGAACCTTGCAGGTAAATGGTTTCACATGCCCCCAAGGGGTTCCTCAGGCAGGGAGGAGAGGATGGTCCACAGAATCAGGACTAGGTGTTGGATGCTTGCCTTGGGGCCCCAGATGGCAGGAGCCCTGAGCTACTGAATCTTGCTGTTTGAGTTATGCCAGGTGAGAAGCTGGTACAGAAGCTGTATCTCATCTTCAGCATCCTGAGGTGCTCGGTGAAGGCACAATGTACCACTGAGGGGCATCCCATTTCTTTCCTGCGCCAGTTCCTTAACCAAGGATCGACTTGGAGCATGCAGAATGGTGGAAAGAGGAGAGACAGGGCTCTGTGTGCGTGCATGTGCTCACACTTGTGCCTGGAGTGTGGGTGTAAAGTGTGGCAGAAGCGGGCACAGTGACGGCTGGGGGTGGGCCCCATTCTGTTCCTCTGGCAGGGTTCATTTGTTGCCACAGGTGTGTGGACCGAGAAAGACTGGCGCCCTCAGGAAGATGAACTGCTTCAAAAGATGCATCTGAAAATGTGTCTGTCGTGTTTGGTGGGGAAGATCCCTCCTACTGGACAGTTCTCTGGGGCTGTTAGAGACCAGACAGGGGTAGATTTTGGAGTTCTTCTAACGGGTTTCTGACTAGACGAGTCGTCAATAGGATCGGCAGTACCCAGCACTTTCTGGGGCTTCTGGCAGCTGGGGACTCCCTAAAAACAGGACAGCAGGTTGAGGGGACGCCTGAGAACAAGCTCCCGAGACAGCAGGGGAAAGTGCCACCAAAGTCCTATGGGCTGCTGTGCATTCTTTATGGAGGTTGGAAACATAATGCAGATGAATTTCCTTTATGTCTTTCTGGTGCTCCCATTGTCCCTTCATTCTCTGAACAGTTTCACATAAAGGGAGTGGCTGCCTTATTACCTGTGTCTAGCCCTGATGGCCAGCGTGGGTCTCCCCCATCTCTGACTCATCTGGAAGCAAATCCTGTTTAACAGTGAGGATGCTCCCCCTAGAGGGGACTCTCCGTGTGAAGCTGGAGAATCCAGAGTGTTCCCCAATGTTCCAGAGAGATGGGAGGCACTCCTCAGTAATAATGGCCCCTTGGTGGGGCGCCTGGGTGGCTTAGTCGGTTAAGCGTCCGACTTTCGCTTAGGTCATGATCTCGCGGTTCGTGGGTTCGAGCCCCGCGTCGGGCTCTGTGCTGACTGCCAGCTCAGAGCCTGGAGCCTGTTTCAGTCTGTGACTCCCTCTCTCTCTGACCCTCCCCTGCTCACGCTGTCTCTCTCTCTCCTAGAAATAAATAAAACATAAAAAAATTAAAAAAATAAATAAATAAAAGAACTCCTTGGGTTTGAATCAAAAGCTTGAAGTGATGTGGTGTGGGCTCTGGTCAAGAGTGAGCTGTTTTCAGTGCAAAAAGGTGTTTTTATTAAAGCACAGGGACCAGACGCGTGGGCAGAAAAAGCTTGGGATTATGAGGANCGTCGGGCTCTGTGCTGACTGCCAGCTCAGAGCCTGGAGCCTGTTTCAGTCTGTGACTCCCTCTCTCTCTGACCCTCCCCTGCTCATGCTGTCTCTCTCTCTCTCTCCTAGAAATAAATAAAAAAAAAACATAAATTAAAAAAAAAAATAATGGCCCCTTGGTGCAGAAAGAGGAGGGGCGGGGGTGAGAGCTGTCATGAATGGAGAGGCCCCTAAGTGGTCCCAATACACCTATCTTGCCCCAATCACAGGACAAGGGTACATCTGGCTTCCTTTGAGCCATGGGAATGAATTTAATTTTTCACTTCCAGGTAGATTCATAACTCCAGCTAACAGCAAGGGGAAGACTCCAAATGTGCCCCCCTCTGCATGGGAATTGGATATGTGCAGTCGATGGCTTCCTGGAGCCAGAGGAAGAAGTGGCTTATGGCTCCAGGCTTGGAGGGCCCTCTCTTCCCATGGGCTGCAGTGTTCATCCCAGAAGGGAGGAGGGAACTTCCTCAGCATGTGCCCAAGCAGGGGTTCATAGTGTGACAGCAAGCTGGAGCATCATTAATTCAATTTCATTTCACACATATTTATTGGACTCCTACTACGTGTATGCACCAGTGCTGTGGCCATGCCTTGTCAAGGTGCTGTCAGGTTGGCGGGGAAGAGGCCCAGATAAACAGATGGTAAAATGGAGAGATTTGTGCTGTCGCAGAACAGGGGTAAGGGCAGCTCATCCAGGACTGGAGAATCACTCAAGTCTCCCCAACAAACTGCCACCTCAGCAATGATGGGAAAGATTATGGGAGTCACTAGATAAATAAGGATGTTGGGGTTGGTTGAGGGGGAAGGGTCTGGGCAAGGCCCAGGAGAAGGGGATGCGTAGCTTTGCAGAGGCTTCCTGGGTGAGCACATCCCAGCCCAGCCCATGCAGTTCTGTTACCCACACCTGGACAGGTTAGAAGCAGGACCCAATGCTTGAGACTTAGAACTGAATTCATCTTCTATTTCAAATTGGCTGAGTGTCTGCAGAGAAGCTACCTACCTGAGTGGCATTTTTCCTGACCATCAAGGTGATGATAAAGTATACTGGGAAAGGCGGATGGGAGAATTTTACAAATAAAATACTTGAGTTTCTGGTTCAAGGTAGGTGTCCAACACACGAAAGTCAATAATGGCAGACCCATATGGTAAAGAGTCCATCATTGCTACCAGCAGCAACAACCTTTTCCCTGATTCAACCCAATGCAGAGTTCCACAGGACTCCAAATCTCTTGGTGACAGCCAGTTAGGCTAATAATGGGCACTTGACCCAAGAGGTGGGCTCAGCCATTCAGAATCCTTCTCTTGTGAGTCTGGACTAATGTCATGGTTACTGAGCTAGTTAATGGGAAAGTTAAAGTTGAGTTGGGGTCAAAACTGGTATCATGGCAGGTAAATCTATAAGAAAGCTTTCCCCAAAAAGCACCCCTCCTTTTTTTTAAAGAAGTAGCAAAAGTCCACTTGGAGAGAGATTCAGAGGGTGCCAAGAGGACTTGAGAGCCAAGAAATATGGGCCCACGAGAAACAAAGGGTAGCTTAGGTTGAATTAGTCACTAGGTTGCAATGAGCAGAAACCCATTCACGTGAACTAAAAACAGAGAGAGTTATTGAGGTGTCACAGACGTCCAAGAATAGAACATCCAAGATGTCCAAGAAGAAGAGAATGCCATGGGCAGAGGCATGACATTAGTTTATAAACTGGGCATGGTGGGGGAAGAATTGACATCTTTACATTATTATCTTTATAGCATTTTATGACTTTCATTAGAGTTTTATAGTTTTTTTCATAAGGGTCTTTTTGTTCGATTTCCAGGCATTTCATGGTTTTTCTTGTCCGTCTAAATAAAATCTTTGCCCAAAGTATTTTCTAGCTGGTTTTGCTGTTATCTAGGAAAACTACTGACGTCATGTATTTAACTCTGTAACTACTCATCTCATTGAACTATACAGTATTTTGTAGTTTTTCAGTGGATTCTTCAGGATTTCCTGGTAGGCGGTCCTATCATCTGCAAAGAATAATACTTTGTCTTACTTTCCCCAATCTGTAGCCCCTCTCTCTTTTCTTGTCCTCCTTATACTTAATCCTTGTGTTTTGAGGGAGGCTGGGGGTTGGGTCAGTCTTCCGTGACAGTGACAGACCGTCTCATGAGGAGTAGTTTTCCCAGGTCATCTGTTTTGGGTTGACTGATTTTTTACTTCTTGGGACATGTAGTCTCGAGTCTTGGAGTCTTCTCATCATACTTCTGAACGAACACATTTTGTACACCCTGGCAGTTAGCCTGCATGGACTGGTAGAATTATAAGGGAAGAGTGGAGAGGAGAAAGAGTTTAGGATTGGAGCTTATTTAGGGTTTGTGTTTCAGGTGAGGATTCACATGGATTGCATGTTTAGGAGATTTCACTTGACTCAACTCAAAGCATAGATCATTGAGATGGGGTCCCTTGGTCAGTCTACAACGTCCATTGTCTTGTCAGCTTGGGCTGCTAAATACCACAGACTGGGAAGCTTAGACAACAGACATTTGTGCTCACAGTCCTGGAGGGGATAAGTTCAAGATCAAGATGTTGGCTAATTCATTTCCTGGTGAGAGCCCTCTTTCTGGTTTGCAGATGGCCTCCTTTTTGCTGAGTCTTCACATGGTGGAGAGAAAGAGAGCTCTGGTGTCTTTTCTTCTTATAAGGGCACCAATCCCACCATGGGGGCCCCACGGTCATGACTGTTATGCCAAGAGACACAGAGACCAACTGAGATCACTGAAGCCAAATTAAGGCAGTCTTTATTACTGGCCAGGACTGCACAGAGTTAACACAGAACTCTAAATATGTGGTCCCAAGTCCAAGGACTCAGGGCTTTTTATAAAGAGCAAGCAGGCAAGTGGGCAGTACAGAAGCAGAATTGAGTGGTTATAGTAAAAAGGCTACAAAGTGATAAAGAGAGCAGCCCTTAT